TTCAAAATCGCTAGCTCTAAGAGAGATGCAAATCAAAACAACTATGAGATATCATCTCACCACAGTAAGAATAGCAAAATTTAACAGAACAGCAAACAAAAAATGTTGGCGAGGTTGTGGAGAAACTGGAGCCCTTATTCACTGTTAGGTGATGTGCCAGTCGTGGTAATGGGTACCCATGGTGAACAGTGTTGACTGGAGCTTCCCAACTAAATCAAGCCTGGAAGCAGGAGCGATATCCACTTCCAAAATGGCTTGCCTCCGGAAACTCTATGTACGAACAGTGCTCAGGCCATTCATTCATAGAGTCGCTATGAGTCCTCTACGACTCTATGGCATCAAACAACAACAACATTCACTGTTAGTGGGAGTGTAAAATGGTGCAACCACTGTGGAAGGCAGTATGGTGCTTTCTCAAAAAGTTGGAAATTAAAAAAAAAAAGTTGGAAATATAAATACCATTTGACCCAGCAATTCCACTACTGGGAATAAACCCTAAAGAAACTATAACTGCCACCCAAGTTTATCACGGCTTTGTTCACAATAGCAAGAGTTGGAAACAACCTAAGTGCTCATTAACAAACAAATGGATAGAGAAGCTGTGGTATGAAATACTACGCTGCATTGAAAAACAAGGAACTCATGAAATATTCAAAATGGGTCACCCTGGAGACATTATGCTGAGTGAAATATCTTAGACACAAAATGACAAATACTGCTGAGTGCCACTGTTGTAAAACAGGACTAACATTGGGGTTGGGGGAAAACTGAGAAAGACGGGATAAATTATGTAAACTGCGTTGAAACAGATAAGAGAGAGAACTGTTTAAAGGGGATATATGATTAGGTATTATTGTTGTGACAGGATTCCAGAACAAAGGCTGCAGTGGAGTAGATTTGGGCGGAGGGATTGTATAACAATGAGAGAATTTTACTTTTCAAAGAGAAGAAGGAACTGGAGGGGAGGGGTGGGCAGGGAGAAAAGTGCAACAGTGAATGAATGGAAATCCAAAATATCTAAATTTTTATAAAAATTAATAAACACACACACACACACAACCCCGAGAAATGTTGAGCGAGTTCAGCCCCTTTGATTTTCTGACTCCAGATCTTTGCACATTTCATTGTAAAACTTTACTTTGTCTTCCCATGCTGCCCTTTGGAATCTTCTGTTCAACTCCTTAATATCTTGATTTTTTTCCCTTTGCTTTGGCTTCTAGGCACTCTAGCGCAATATTCAGAGTCCCTTCTGACATTCATTTTGGTCTTTTCTTTCTCCTCTGCCTTTATAATAACCTTTTGCATTCTTCCTGGATGATGTTCTTGATATCATTTTACAGCTTATTTGGTCTTTTTTCATTAGTGTTCAAAGCTTGAGATGGTTTTGAAATTCAGATGGGATAGACTCAAGGTCAAATTTTGGTTCCCATGGATTTGATTTAATTTTCCTCAGCTTTGGCTTAAACTTGCATATGAGTAGTTGGCTGCCTGTTCCACGATCAGCACCTGGCCTAGTTTTCACGGTTTATATTGAGCTTCTCCGGTGATTCTTTCCACGGATGTAATCGATCTGATTCCTGTGCATACTATCAGGTGAAATCTAGGTGGATAGCCTGCATTTATGTTTCTTATAAAACATATTTGCAATAAGTCATTGATTGTGCAAAATTCTAACATTCTGTCTCCAGCTTCTTACCTGTCACCTAGTCCCTGTTTTCCAACTACTGATCCCTCTTCTCTGTTCCCAGTTGATGTCTTTAATTGTGGTGTTGCAGAAGAGCACTGAATATGCCATGGACTGCTGAAAGAACAGATGTGTCTTGGAGAAGGTGCCGCCAGAGTGCTCCTTAGAGGCAAGGATGGCAAAGCTTTATCTCACATATTTTGGCCTATGCTTTGGAAAGGAACATCATGCTTGGAAAGGTGGAGGGTCAGCAAAAAAAGAGGAAGAGCCTCAATAGGATGGATTGACAGAGTAACTGGAGCAGTGGGCTCGAGTGTGTCGGATATGATGAGATTGGCACAGGATAGGACAGGGTTCAGATATGTTGTTCATATGGTTGCTTGATGGCACATAACGACAGGAATACATTTTTGTGTACTGAGTCTTCAAAATCTTTGTGTTTTATAATTAGAACACACATGTCAACATTTTAACAGTTAAGATGAAACACAGAAGTTATCTTTAACGGGAAAACATTTCACACTAGTTTAGTTTGTAATTTTAAATGTAAGTTAATTAGAATTAAATTGCATAAAGATAAACCAACTTAAGTATGTGGTGGCTGCCGTACCAAATGGTGCAGCTGTGGGTTTTACACAGCCCCTTTCCCAGGTGTGTTTAAACTGATGCCCCGCCCCTCTCCATCCCAAGAGCTTCTGCAGCTTGCTCCTGTGCCCCTTGCTTGCAGCTCTCCCTAGAAGTGGCCTTGAGGAGCCCAGGCTTGACTCTTGGCTGCATGGCTCACTGCCATTTTCTCTGCCTTTGCAGTAAGCCCTATCACTGTGTCCTTGTGAAAAGTGCAGACCCCCTGAAGTGATTCTCTGACAGAGAGGGTCGCCTCTATTTCTGTTCTCCCTCAGAGGCATTGTGAACTTGACTTCTGGTCTTCCTTCCCCAGAAGTTCCTGGGGATGTTGAGCTCTGTGCTGAGCTCTGGCCTCCCCCTTCAGGAAGGGCCTCTGCTGCAGGACCAAGCAGAGATGTCATGTGGGCCCTTGGGGCCTGGGAGTAGTTCTCTGGACCCTAACACCAGACACCGTCAGTGCAGGGACTCTTTACCTGTTCATTCACCTACTGCCTTATCCCAGAAAGACACACAGCATAGCCTGAAAAATATGCTTAGTACTTGTGTACTTTCTGAGGGAATGAAGACTGACTCTCGAGATGCTATCCAGTTTATCCCCTCTCTTCCTTCCCAGCCTTCTTTCCCATCTCTCTTGCCCTAGCTTCCTGGATCCTTGTTGGTGTTTTTTTTTGTTTTTGGTTTTGTTTTTTAAAGATACTTTCTCCTCCTCTCTTGGCCATTTATCCAGATCCAGGGCAGCCTTTCAGCTCTAGTCCCTCCCACCAGTGAAGCTTTCCCCAGTTCTCCCCACTGGGGTCTTTTTTTCCCTCCTTGTACTCCTTCTCTGTCCATTACATGCATGGTTTTTTACACATCCTCACTTGTATGAGATTCTTTGTTTGAGGGTCACTTGATCTTTGCCAGGTTCCCTTTCCCCTCTGCCTATGTCACCACATTCCAGACAGACCGTGAGTGCCTCTGCTTGGGGAACTGTGCTGGGTGCTTGCTGTGTGGACACATGTGATGATTCACATGGAAACCTCACAACAAGCATATCCTGAAATAATGAAGAAGGTGAGACTCAGTGTGCCTGAGCAAGACCAGCCCAGACGCACACAGCCCATATCTTCGTTTCCTACCGCATTGTGACTGAAATACAAGTGGACAGCTTTAATGGACAGAGATCTGTTTTCTCCTTGCTAAGAAGGCTAGGAGTCAGAATTCAGGGCACCAAATTTAGGGAAACAGAGCTTTGTTAGCACAGTTGTTAAAATGCTCAGCTGCGAACCAGAAGGTTGGCAGTTCAAACCTACCAGCTGCTCCACAGGAACAAAGTGTGGCAGTCTGTTTCCCTAACAGTGTATAGCTTTGGAAACCTTGAGAGACAAGTGTGCCCCCTGGGAGGCTGTGAATCAGTCCCTGTGAACAGAGTCAGTGTTCAGAGTAGATTACAGTTTGACTTATTTTTAAAAATAATTGAATATTTAAGTCTCAGCTGCCAATTTAGCATTTTCCCCCAACTCAGGGAGTAGAAACTTTGACAGGCTTCACAATTTTTTCTTTAGGTGCTGCTTTTGTGGGAGCCTTGGGAGCAGCTATTGCTGTCTTTTTAGGTGCTTGTTTAGCCTTTTTTGCTTCCTTGGCAGTCTTGATAACCTGTTCTTATTGAGCCTTTGCAACTTCAGGAATTTGATTCTTCTTGGCCGCTATATCAGCAAGAGATGCACCAGTGATGGTCCTGGGATTTGACTTTCTGCTTTGCTCTAGAGGAAGGAAGGAGCTGTGGTGGCATAGGCTATGGAGACTGCTAACTCAAAGGTGGTATCTCTCTGGCAGTTCAAATTCCCCAGGGCTCTGAGGGAGAAAGATGGCCTCTCTCCTTCTGTGAGATTAAGGAATCCTGAAAACTTGCTGAACAGTCAGCTCTAAGTCGATTTCACTTGACATCAATGGGTGGGTTTTGGTTTTTTTCCTGGAGGAAGGCTCTCTCTTTTGGCTTTGTGGAGACACCCTTGTCTCTTTTAGCCTCTGTAGTCCTGATGTTTCTAGATTCCTTGGCAGATTTTACATAGCACCCTGGCTCCTTATGACTCAGAGGTGATTAGGTTTAGGACATGTTCTACACTGACAGGGCCTCATTAACATGACAAAGAAAACCCTGTTCACAAATAGGATTGCATCCACAGGTGTGTTGTAACTTGCTCCTGACTCAGTGACCATATAGCACAGGGAACTAACTGCTCGCTGGGATTTCCTAGGCTGTGATCTGTGAAAGCAGATCCCAGGGCTGCTCATCATGGAGTCACCGATGAGTTCAAACCGCCTACGTTTTGATTAGCAGCCAGATGCCTTAACCCTTGTGCTACCAGGGCTCCAGCCACAGGATGGATGTAGAGGTTAGGATTCTAACACATTTTTATAAGTGGGTGGAAATTTCATGAATTTTTGAATTTTTATGAATTCAGTCCCTAGAGGGTTCAGCCAGTAAAAGGTGCAGTTGGGATTTGAACCCAGGCAGCCTGGCTCTTCCCATGCACAGTTACACAGTCCTCTCATGAACTTGAGGACAAAGTCTGTTTCCTCCATTCTGTACTCTCTGCCTCACCCTTGGGCCAGTGGGCAAGGAGCCCCCGGGGAGTCTATAAGGACATGGGTAGTCCTGGCTTGAGTTCAGTCTGCTGGAGCACCCTGGTTTCTGCTTTCTCCCACACAGGGTGTCACCGAGGGCTATAATGGCACCATCTTTGCTTATGGCCAGACGGGCAGCGGGAAGTCCTTCACCATGCAGGGCCTGCCGGAACCTCCCTCCCAGAGGGGCATCATCCCGAGGGCCTTCGAGCACATTTTTGAAAGTGTCCAGGTAATGGGCCTCCAGGAGGGAAGGGCCAGGGCGGTGCGCAAGGCCTCTGGGCTCCTGAGATGTTGTCGTGAATGGTCCCCAGGGCACCTGCAGCAGGGACCTGAGAGGGAATCAGAGCCCAGGCTGGGCTTGGTGTCGATCAGCAGAGGGAGGCTCCAATTTCTGAAAAGGCGATGGGAGAAAAACTTAAAATGGAGAAAACTACCAGCACCATGGTTTTCCCCTTCCACTACTGGATTTTAACATTTCCTAACTGCACATAGATAGTCTGAGATGTGGTCATAAGCAATAATAATTTATCTTTATTGACCAAGCCTTTTGACAAAGGTAGAACTCTTTGTGTCATGATCTTATTGGCCCCCTTGCTGACACAGGAGGTCACTCTTAACCCCATTTCTGAGGTAGAGAAGGGAGGTTCCAAACCCTTATGGACTGAGTCAAGACTAAGCTTTGAACATAGTCCCAGTGTCCACACTGCAGGTAAGACCTGCTTTTTTCTTTTTGAGATTTTATTGTAAGTTTATAAAGAACTTGGATTTCTCTTCCCCCCGCCACCAGTTCACTTTTTTCTTAGGAAAAAAGTTCTTTCCTTGTTAGACAGTACCCCTACCACCACCACTTAACTATGCAGCTCTTATTCTGGACTCTTGTCATGCCAATAATACCTAATCATATATTCCTTTTATACAGTTCTCTCCCTCATATGTTTCAATGCCATGCACATTATTTATCCCCTTTTTTCTTAGTTACCTGCAACCCCTGTCAGTCCTATTTTCTAACAGTGGTGTTGCACAGTATTTGTTATATGTACACCCATGTTTATTGCTACTTTATTCACAATAGCACAGAGTTGGAAACAACCCAACTGCCCATCAACAAATAAATAGATAGAGAAGACCTGCTTTGGTGACCATTCATGCCCATGGGGAATGCTGAGCACAGATAGAGTGGGGGCAGCAGATGCTAGTCACTTTCTGAGGACAGTATACCATTGTGATAAGCCCAAGGCAGAGTGTAGAGGCTGAGAGGGCTTCCAAGGATGAGCCCCAGGCTAGTGCTTAGTCCAGGCCTTCCTTATGGCCTCAGTTCCTCCTCTTACATAGCAGGGAGGTCCTTCTCTTCTTTCTGTGAGGTCAGCAAGAAAGCAGTAGACAAGTACTTCGCAGTATGAAAATCATGCAATTTTGAGAAGCCTGAGGATCTGTTTGGAGAGGAGAACTTGTGGGACAGGCAGACAGATGGGCAGGTGGAGGGAGATGCTTTTTGACCTCTATCTTCTATCCTCCAGTGATTGTCTACCTTTGGGACCCCAGGTCACTGGCTGCCAAGGTCTCAAGGGTAACCTGTCCCCTCCTTGCAGTGTGCAGAGAATACCAAGTTCCTGGTCCGGGCCTCCTACCTGGAGATCTACAATGAAGATGTCCGTGACCTGCTGGGGGCAGACACCAAGCAGAAGCTGGAGGTGAGCCCAGTGTGGGCAGGTGGGGACTGGTAGGGAGGGTGGCCTTAAGTGCTCCTTCCTCAGAAATCCACAAGAAATGTACCGAGGGCAGGGGTGCTGGCTGAGACTAGTGTGGACACCTTTGAGCTGGAAATGTAGAAGATCTTCCAAGTATTGGAGGATTGTGCATGAGCTTCTTTGGCTATGAATTGAACCTAGGTCTCTGCATGGTAGGCAAGAATTCTACCACTGAGCCACAGATGCCCCTGATAGAACCTTCAGTGTCTTTGTCTGCTTCACCCTGCTCTGAAATGAAGTTCTTTCATTCCAAGTCTAGCTTTTCAGGAGACTGAGGATAATTTACAGAAAGCATGTAAAGCTGCTTGGGGCTGGGTTAGGGGCCTCCTCTCAGCTCCCACCACTGCTGGGCAGCCAGACCTCACCTGGGGCAGTATGAGTTCTGCCTGGAGGAGTTTTTTTAATCTAAGATTTCATTTTTTATAGAAGGCCTTCACGGGAGCTCTGGTGGCCTACTGGCAAGAAGCTGTACTGCAATCCCAGAGGTACACTGCTCGAATCCACCAGATGCTCTGCCGGAGAAGGAGGGACAGTTTCCTCCTGTACCAGTCAGATCTGATTTGACGGTACATGCACAAAAAATAATAAAATAACATTTTTTAAAAAAAGGACTTCACATCTCAAAAAATGATTTTGAAAAAGCTAAAAGATGGCAGTGATTGCTGCTCATTGAATACTTGTACATCCTGCCTGTTTTCAGCACTATCACATTCCACTTTTTTTTTGTTTTCTTCATAAATCTTATTTATTTATATCCCATATCATTAAAAACACATGAATCTATTTTTGTCTTCCTATAAGAAATCAGAACAATTTAAATTTTCCAGCATGTCATTGTAAGGTGCTTTTGAGTTGCCTACAAACCCCGGGCTCATCCTCCTGACATGCTCACAACCTGTGTCACCCGTTAGCCCACCGTGACAGCCAGTGTGTCAGTCCTTCTCACTGAGGAGCTTCCTCCTGACCGATGCTCTGCTTTAGCCCATTCCGTTTTCACAGTAACCCTGTGAGGGAAAGGATGGTTGTTGTTGATCAGAGCCATTGTGTCAATTACAACTCATAATGATCCTGTAAGCCACAAGTCGGAACAGATCCTGTGCTGTCCCGTCCTTACTATCTCTGATATGCTCACGCTTACTGTGTAAATCCATCTTATCCTCTGTCTCACGGAGAAGGCATGAGATTTTAGATCTCTTGCCCAAGATCTGCACAACAGGAAGGAATCAAATCTGAGTGTAAACTCAGGTGTGTCTGCCTTCAAAATCCTGAATCCTAAGCACCCCACATCCCTGCTGCCAATGGCTCAGACTCTGAGACCTTATCCCCTTTTGAAAGGAATCAGTCATACAGTCTCTCAGGGCCTCAGGGTTGAGACTCATAAGGAGACTCTGGTGAGAACTGAAAGAAGGTGATGTGAGTGAAAGGGCTCTGCAGAGTTAGATGTTCCTGTGTGGACTACTGCTGCACATTATCAGGATTCAGAGGACATGACAGAGTGGTGGCCAAGTGGGGCCCTCAGGAGCTGGGATCAAGGACTGAAAACTTAGGGTTGGCTCCACTGTTTACTGAGTGTCCTCCCCACTTCATAAACTGTTCTCAGCCTCCTGAAAGGCTAGGTGCAGAATCAGAGAGTTCCTCGCTGTGGCAGGATGAAGCTGAGGCAGATGCTGTGAAGGCTCTAACAAGGGCAGTGGGGGTTCAGTGGTGAGGGGCAGGAGTCCCCAGTCCCAAGTTTGATTCCTGTCCAGTGCTCCTCCTGTACTCCCGCCACCCGTCCATCTGCCATTAGAGGCTTGCTTGTTGCTCTGATGTTGAATAGGCTTGGTGATATCCTTTAGAAAAACCAGTCATGAAGACCCTGTCGATCACAGTGATCTGATCCCCAACCCATGACAGAGAGGGTGCAGGACCATGAAGCACTTTATTTTGTTGACATTTAGCAACAACGTGGAGATAGGAGGTTCTGGACACTGAGTCTTTGGGGAGCCCAACAAGGTCACGCGACCTGACAGAATCACATAGCATGTTGGTGACAGGATTGGAGTCCAGTCCAGATCTTTTGTCTTCATCTTAACGAGAGGCCCAGATTCTGTCTTCTATTTAAGGTGCTTTAAATGCTGGGTTGGTTGAATCTGGTCTGTGCTGGTCCAAGGAGGAGAGAGGCCAGTATAGAGATATTGACCCAGATGTGTGGCCTAGAGCAGATGGCTGCCTCCTGAGCTCTATTGCTTCCTTTCTAACCACACAATCAGGAGACCCCTATCGACCCACAGCTAGCAGGGTCAAGCTTCTGAGTAAGGAGGAACATCATTCTTGTAATGAACATCATTTCCCAAAGCGGGATGGAGAGCCTGCTTTACAGCTAAGGAGAGAAGGCTTGGAAGATGCTTTTCCTTAGGCTACTTGGCTAGGAAGCCACAGAGACAGGATTGGCCACTTTCTTTGACCCTAGCTGCAGAGTTCTGTCCACGTATCTGTGGACAGCCAGGAGGATGTAGGACAGAGTTGGAGAGGCAGGCACCTGCTCCTCACTGACCTCTGGAAGTGAATGGACATTGGAATCACCTGTTTCCCACCTGCCCCTCACACTTGGCCTTCGTAGACTGTTCCCCTGCTTGGCTCCAAGCCTCCCACCAGCCTGCAGATCCCCATATCCCCTGTGTGCATTTAGGGTTGTGAGTTCCTTTGTTATGGGGAGCCACCCATGGCTAGTCTGAACAGATCAGGACTCCAGGAATGGCCATCTTCAACATCTCCTGTGTACTAGTTCATATTGTAGACAAATTCTTTAAAACTGAAGCCAGAAAGCCTTTATAGAGCTTCTTAGTCAAACACTCGCTGATACAGATAAGAAAACTTATGACAAGAGAAGAAGGGACTTGGCTAAGGTCATGCAGCAAATTACAAGCAGTAGGAGTGGAATCCACTTCCATAGGATCTTGCCTTCGGAAACCCTATGAACCTGGAGAGAGGATGAAAGGCACCCAAGCGTCGAGGACTCTCCTTCATAGGGTCGCTATGAGTTGCCTGCGACTTGATGGCATTTAACAACAAACAACAACAGGGTTGGTATGAGAGTTTCAGGGACCTCAGTGGTCAGGATTTTTTTTTTCTTTCTTCTGAATCAGCAGTAGAGGGAAACTCTGGAACAATACCACGCATTTGTCAGCTTGCTGTACTCAGATAGTTTGCATGTTACTGTTACACCGGGAGCTATGCCATTGGTATTTCAGACATCAACAGGGTCACCCACAGTGGACAGGTTCCAGTGGAGCCTTCAGACAGAGATATACCAGGAAGAAAGGCTTGGCAGTCTATTTCTGAAAATAACCTTATGAGTCACAACTGTATTGTACATCTTGTCCTGGGAGATGAGCCCATGGATTGAAGGCCTTCACTGTGAAGATGGTACACGACCTGGCAGTGTTTCATGTTTCTGTGTGTAAGCTGTGAATCCCAGTCAACCTGACAGCAGCTTAACGACAACAGGGGCTTCTGGATGAGGGAGGGATAGTTACTGGCTGATTCACTTGGTCCACAAAGACTTAATAGGAAAGTGTGGGTGGTAGGCTCCAGGCCTCCTGCTGCACCAGATGTGCAATGAACATTCATTCTCCCTTTGGTTTCCATCCAGACCCAAATCCTGGCTGCTGGGGACCTCCCCCCCAAACTCCATCTCAAATGCAGCCATTTTGCCCTTTGTGTGAAGAAAGCTCCAGCCTCCCACCTGGAGTCTTTTAGCTGGCTTCTGTATCTCAGAGCTGGTGCAGCTGACTCACAGCTCAGCCCCCAAACGGGGGAGTAAGGAAGGGAAGAAGGCACAGGAGCCCTTCCAGGCGGCAGCCCTCACTGGCCAGCTTGGAAACATCTGCCCACCTGACCCAAGTGCAGTATATTGGTCCCTGGGGCAGTCGGAGTCCTTTCTCTTCCTCCTCCTCTCCTTGACACCTGGGTCCTAGAAAGGCCTTAGTGGCCCACACTCTTGAGGGGCCACTAGTATTTGGCCTGACCAGGTCACCCAGCCTCAGGCTTGGTGGTCTGTCAGTGCCAGAAGTGTCCCATGAGCCACCCTGTGGGTGCAGTAAGATTTAACATGCTGGCTTTAAGGGCATGTGCAGATGGATTTTGTGGGAGGCACTCCACCCCCAAAGAGCTGTGGGCCTGGTTGAGTCAGAAGCTTGATCAGCCTCAGAGGGAATGACCTGTTCAGCTCCCATCTTTTTTCTGGATCTCTATCCTCATATGAGCAGTGAAGTACAAGTACTAGCCTCTGAGGACCTTTCTGGCTGTCACATTCGGTGACTTTGGGATCAGTTGTCAAGGAGTTTATCATCCTGGGAGGTCAGCTTTCTGAAGGAATCAGGTCCCAGGGGTGTCCTGTGATGTGCTTGAGGAGAATGTGGTAGCATCTGAACAGCCTGGCTTTCTCTGGTGATGTGACTTTGGGCATGTCATTTCCACTCTGAGTTGGTTTCCTCATCTGCAAAGTACGCATAGAGTCAGTATAGTGTTTGACAGGGATGCTGTGAAGAGGAATCAGATATAGGTTGAAAAGTGCTTCACAGTCGGTCCATTTATCTTTGTAATTAGATCAACTTGGCTCCACGGTCAACACTCTTGGCACCAGCAGCCAGGAAATTAAAAGATGTATTGCAGTGGGAAAGCCTGCTATTAGGGACCTCTTCGAAGTACTGAGGAGCAATGATGTCACTTTGGAGACTAAGGTGCACCTAATATAGGCCATGATCTTTGCAATCACTTGCTATGCATCAGAGAGTTGGAAAATGACTAACGAGGATAGGAGGAGAATTGATGCCTTTGAACTGTGGTGTTGGAGAAGAGTATTGAATATACCATGGACTGCTAAGAGAACGAACAGTTTTGCCCTGGAAAGGATTAAACCAAGCTGCTCCTTGGAGGCAAAGATTCTGAAGCTTCGTCTGACATACTTTGGACATGTTGCAAGGAGGGCCCAATCCTTGGAGAAGGATGTCATACTTGGGAGGGTGGAGGGAGAGTCCAGGAGAGGAAGACCCTCTATGAGGTGGATTAATGCCACTGCATTAGTGGGGTAATGGGGGTAGGTGTGTCGGAGACAGTGAGATTGGCACAGCATAGGGCAGGGTTTAGGGCTGTTGTACATAGGGTCGCTATGAGTTGCAGACGACTTGATGGCACATAACAACAACAATAGGCCAGCCAGAGAGTTAGTTTGGGAAACATCAAGGCCTAAGTGTCACACACCCCTGCACCCACAAACCACCAATATTTTGTAGTGGATGTGGGGCTATTAGGGATCTCTCCCTTGGGTTCTCCTCACCCAATAAAGGGACAGAGTGCCAGCAGCTGCCCCCACATGGTGACATCTTCTGGCTTCTGACTGCCACGGGCATCATGCCTGCCCCATTCTGGCTGCATCCCTGCTGGTTGCTATGGTGACCAGGGCCTGGCTGCACAGTCAAAGTGAATGGTTACCTAGGAATGTGGCGGCTGGTGGCCTTCACTCTAGTCACAGAGATGGGATGGGTGTGTGCGCAGGGGACCCACTGTGTGCATCAGTTGGGGAGCCTGCCTCACTCATGATGGGGGATGGATGCAAGTCTAACTGGTCTGAAAAATAGGATCAATTCAGGAGATACCCCCCCTGAAGGGACAGACTGCATCCGGTGCCCATTTTAAGTTCCTGAGATTACTCAGCCCCTCTTTATGACCTGCCTGCCCCACACACCCTCTTACGGGTCTGGTGGAAGTTTTATTAGGTTCATTCTCTTAATCTTCCTAATGTTAGGTATTGAGTCTGCATGTCACTGTAGGATGCCCCAGCCTTTCCTTGACCCCATCCGTTCAACAAACAGTGTCACTGCCTCTAGAATCTTCTGCTTCTTATGATCCCATTGCTGCCCAGCCAGTAGCTGTGTGACCTTAAGCAAGTCGTCTACCTTTTCTGTGCCTTGGTGGCTGGCTTACCTGTTTAGTACAGTTCACTCTTGAGCTGTTTGCAGTCCTGCTGGTGGGCTCTGGCTTTCCCTGCACTAAACACATCAACAGAAAGGGCAAGCTTGTGCTTGTCTTCTGACTACCACAGAGGTCCAACACCCCAGGACCCCCCACACTTTAAAAGCAAAGCATCTGAGCCTCTGTAAATGACCAGCACAGGCCCACAGGGCATTTGGAAGAGGAACGGCTTTTGTCTTAATCCACTTGGCTCTTGCCAGAGTGGTTCTGTTTCCTCTTGCACTTGAAAAATAATGCATTTCACAGCTCTGTGTCAGCAACAAAACAGCTTGGCCGCCTAGAGAGTGAGCAGAGAGCCATCAGGTAAATTAATTTACTCACTGCTGTTGCACTGAGACTTGGAGACCTGGCTGAGCCTGAGCCAGTTGGAGTTCTGGGCAGCAAATGGCCACTTACCCAGGTGTCCTCGCCCTGAGGTCTGGGAACATTCCTGTTGCTATGGAGCTATGACAGCAGAGAGCAGGGTCTGTGCTGACAGGGTGAAGGAGACAGCACTCAGAGCCCTCTGGAGTCTATGAGGTTGCTACTAGGCAGCTGGGGCTCCCAGACTGAAAACCACCTTCATTTGTAATACTCTTTAACAACATGGGCCACAGCTGGCTTTCTTTGAGCATTTAAGATGTGCCAGGGAGCTCTGGGGCCTAGTGGGTAGGGAGTTAACCTAAAGGCAATTGGTTTGAATCTACCAGCTGCCTTGAGGGGGAAAACAATCTATTCCCATGCAAGTTACACCTCTGAAAACACCCTGAAGGATCAACTATCACTCATTTCTGGCTCCTTTGGCACAGTGCCAGGTATTGTGTGTGCTTTACCCTACTGACTTTACCAAATCCCTATGAGATTAGTATTTCATTCCCATTTTTACAGATGTGAAAAACTGAGACTCAGGTTAAATCACTGGCCTAAGATAACACAAAAAGTAGGAGGTGAAGGAGTGGATTTGAGTCTTTCCCTGCTTGTAGCAAACCCCTCCTCTTATTACTGGGTGTTGGAATTCTCAGCCTACATTGCAGAAGGGGGATGGGACCTCACTGGGCCTTCACCTCTGGTTCCCTGGACGTCCCTGCTCCTCCTGCCTTGAGACGCGAGAAGCCTGCCTCTCACCCACTTCTGCGTGGTCCCTCCCGCCCACAGCTGAAGGAGCACCCAGAGAAGGGCGTGTATGTGAAGGGGCTGTCCATGCACACAGTGCACAGCGTGGCCCAGTGTGAGCGCATCATGGAGACGGGCTGGAAGAACCGCTCAGTTGGCTACACCCTGATGAACAAGGACTCCTCCCGCTCACACTCCATCTTCACCATCAGCATTGAGATCTATGCTGTGGGTACGTGGGGTTTGTTGCGAATGGAGGGTGGGTCCAACATCCAGAGCCAGGGTTCCGATACCTCCCGGCCCAGACTCTGCACCTCTGGGAGCCTCAGGAACCCCTTGTGAAACTGGGGAGAGCTGCTCTGGCCTGGAGGAAACCTAGCGTCCTTCCAAGACTAGGATCAGTGTGCCAGGGATAACAGCAACAATGACAGTAAAAATATTGTAAGAGTAATGTGGCTGGCCTTAGGAGCTCCTACTGTGTGCTGAACACTTGGATACACATGATTCCATGTAGTTCCTACGGCAGCATGTGCTAGCTTCCAGGGGCTGCCAAAAGAACTATTACAATCTTAGTGCCTTAAAACAACAGAAATCTTGTTTTCTTGCAGTGCTGGAGGTCAGCAGTCCAGAATCAAGGTCCTGGCTGGGTTCATTCTTTCAACTCTGAAGAGTCCGCTCTGTGCCCCTCTCATGAGGCTGCAGGCGACTCTTGACGTTCCTTGGCTTGTAGCTGCGTCAGCTGTATCTCTGCCTCTGTCATCTGTGGCCTTCTTTTTCTAGGTCTGCCTTTTCTCTATAAGGATACTTGTCAGAGCTGAGATTCAGGTCCAGAGTGTATCTATCAACCAGGCTTTTTCACTTCTCTTTCTGGATAATTTGTGTAATCTTCTGTTATTTCACTCTTTTTATTTTTCCTGGATGTTTAGTAGCCCACCTTGATATAAAAGTTCTTGTATGGAGATCCTTACCTTAATTATAGCTGCCAAGGCCCTTATTTCAAATAAGATCATATTCTAAATTCCTGGTGGACACTGTTAATCCCATTGCAATCCCTGTGGGGTGGAAACTAATTTTATCCCTGTTTTACAAATATTATTGTTGTTAGGTGCCCTCGATTCAAGTATGACTCATAGTGATCCTGTGAACAAAAGATCTGAACTTAGTCCTGTCCTGCGCCATCTTCACACTTCCTGACACACACACAACAGAGCCCATTGTAGCAGTCACCATGTCAGTCCACCTGGTTGAGGGGCTTCCTCTTCTTTGCCAACCCTCCACCCTAGAAAGTGCAGAGCTGGAATTCAGTCCCAGAGTGTAAATACCAACCAGGCTGTTTGGCTTCTCTCCTTTCTGAATAATTTATCTATTCTTTTGTTATTTCACTCTTTATTTTTTATGGAAGGTACTGAGAAAGAAAAGAAGGAAGGAAAGAAAACCCTGTTTATCCAGGCAATCTTTGTGCTACCTTCTGTGCTGAACACTTTGCACATTCACTCAATTTGAATCCATAGCCGTCCTGGTTGTTGTGTAGAGTCAGAACTGACCCATAGCTGACCCTCCAGCGGGTTTCCAGAGGCAGTTAATCTCATGGGAGGAGACTGCCCATCCTTCTCCTGTGGAGCAGCTGGTGACCTCCAACCATGTGCTGATTGGGATTGCAGTGCAGCTTCTTACCACTCGGCCACCAGAGCTCCCTGGAGAATAGCATAATTCTAACTTTGCAAGTGAGGACTTGAACTGTGAGAGGTGAAGGTTTATTGGTTCAGAGTCACACAGTAGCTAATGGTGAAGCTGGGCTTTTTTTTTTTTTTCAGTCCACTCCATGTTTTTATTTTTTACTCAACTCTAAGGAAACAGCAAAGTTAACACAACATTTAGCAACTCCAGTTCTGTTTCAGTTACATCAAGGAAGAGCAATCAATTTAACAGGCACAGATTGTAGACCTCACAGCCAGAACTGCTGCCCATCCAGGCCACCACTGTGGCCTCTTAAGGACCCAGTAATGCTCTATTTCTTCAAACCTGGTACATTCACTTGCATATTTTTTCTCCCCCTTTTTAAGCTCTGGGTCACTTATTTTTATAACAACAATCTGATGGGCCCATAAAGGTACCAAACATTCCCCCACAAATATTTGACTTCAAATCTGATCAGAATACAAACTAGCATGTGTGACTTTGCAGAAGTATAAAGGGCAGGCACCAGGAAGTGTGTCACTGGTGAGAGCGGGAGTTGGGAGGAGGAGACATCTACATGCTTCACTGAGCTGGAGAGCGGGGCCTGGCGGCTCCGGAACTCCCTGGTGTCTCAGCATTCTACTTCCCGGACAGCTGCTCGTAGAGCTTGGGCACGTAGTCATCCCATTCCGCCTGGTAGCAGGTGCCGGCAACCGCCGAGCCGAGCTGGTACTTTTTGCGGAAGGAGGCCACCTTGAACTTGCCCCGGTGGTCTCCAGAGCGGTTGCTCAGAATGGGCTCATCACACTTCAGGGGCCTGTTCTGCTCGTAAACCAGCCACACGTAGCGGTGGAGACCTGTGCCCTTGGGAGGCCCAGAGCCCACATAATCGGAGAGGACTGTGCCACTGCTGTTGTCATTGCCTTTCATGTTGACGACCAGAAAATGATGCCATTCCCTGAACTTGGGGTCCTTCCTGCTGGGAGCATCTGGGTCTGTCAGGATCAAGGTGTAGAGTTTACCTGAATCAAGGCCCTCCCATGTGATACTGGTGGGGCGGTTCTTCACCTGGGTGGGCGTCAGCACTTTGCCCAGCTCATCGATCTCCACCCCGCCATATTTGATCTGCAGCGGGTGCTGTGGTTGCTCGTCCACCTCCTGCAGGCTCAAGGGCCTGGACCACTTGCTGAGGTCCACTGGCATCGAGGTGTCGAGTTGGGGGAACAGCAGAGAGAGTGGCAACACACACAGCGATGCACAGGACACCAGCACGCACACTGCAAAAAGCTGGGCTTTAATATCTGGGGTTTTTCCGTTTGAACTACTGCTGCCTTCAGGCTTGTGGTTCATTGAGATTAGAGCTTTGAAGTACAGCGGAGCTGAGGCAGGCTCAGCCCAACCAGAACAGCAATTCTAGAGTGATCATGACTCAAGGTCAAAGCTTGGGTTGATGGAGCCTTCCATCATACCCCCCAGCTTATGGTGACCTTAACCCAGGCCAACCCCATGGTGCTTGCTGTGATGGTCATCAATCTGAGTGTCGCTTGAGAGTCCTGATATGAGAAGGGACTCATATCAGCGTGGCCAGGAACTAAGGTAGAGGAAGAGAGAGCAGGTTTTGGGGGCTACCTCTTGGTATGAAGAATGGGGTGGGCTGCTTGGAAACAAACTTTAAAACAATTTAAGAGATAATTTACTGTTTTTGTTGTAAAGTACTACCACTTCAATAAAGATATGTAGAATTAAAGAAAATGTACACATAACCCTCAGTGAGATGGATTGACGCAGTGACTGTACCAGTCAGCATGGCCGAGACCTTGAGGATGGGGCAGGCGAAGGCTGGGTTCTGAGCTGTTGTTCCGACAGTCGCTGTGCCATGTAGTTGACTTGATGGCACCCAACAACCACAGTTTAAGTATCTCAACAGACCTCTTAACATTTAAACTTGTTTTCTTCTGATCATTTATTTTTCCTGTGAAAATTTAAAACCTTATTTAAATTTAAACATTTAAAATTGATACCCTCCTTTTTCTGTAGTTTTTCTTGTTTCCCAGGCCTTCACTAGCAGTTTTCCTCCTTGTTTGGTTGTTACGGGATTTGGCGGCGGTGCTGTGCAGTGGCTGGAGGGGAATTCATTGCTCATTGCACTTTTCCTTCCACATCGGTCCCTGCAAGGTGTTAAACTTGTTTTCAGTTCTTCATCTTGTTCGTAATGCCATAATGAACATGTCTGTGCACAAAACATTTTCTGGTTTTAGGGTCATTTCTCAGACTAGATTCCCCAAAGTGGCTCTCCTGGAGCAGAAAGTTCAGATATATTAAAAGGTTCTAGTTCATTCTGCAAGGAGCTTTCCAAAATGGTGATGCCAAGCCCCCTCCCACTCTCTGCTTTTTGGTTATTGTTTTCTTTAAGCCCAAATAATCAAACCCCTCACATGCTTATACCTCTGCTCAGTGCCAGCCAAACCTCTTTGTTCTCCAGCTTGCTATGCTCCTAGATATAACAAGGCCATTTCTGGTTTCACCCAGCAGGAAACTGAGTGGGAAGCTCCTCTCTCCTCTTCCCTCCAGTTTGAAGTCTGTGCTCAGCTCACTGTTCAGTCAGAAATGGTGCCATCTCATTTAGATGGTTTATGATGTCTAGTGTCAGTGAGAATTATTAGTTATACCAAGGGCAGCAAGCCCCTATTTCATAAGCATGTATAAAATCCAGCCATAAGCCCTTAGGTGCTGTTATTGTGATCCCTCCAACAACCCTTGAGGCTTGATGTTTATCCTTCTTTTACTAAGAGAAAAACTAAAGCCCAGAATCAACCGATGGCATTTCTCTGAGTTTCAAAGCTCCTAAGGGGTAAAATCAGGATCAGACCCCTCAGGTCTGAATCTTTAAACGCTGTGCCGATGAGCCCACACTATGAGCCAGCACCTGACCCTCCTGTTACGCTTGATGCCCAGGCTTGGCTCTGCCAGCCCAGGAAAGACACCTGCTGTGTTGCAGGACCTGTGTGTTGTTATTAGGCACTGTCAGTCTATTTCCTCTCATAACAACCCCATGAGGTGGAATAGAACAGCCCGTAGAGTTTCATTAGGCTGTAATTTTCACAGGAGGAACCCCTGGTGGCCTCCCAGAAAAAAGCTGTGCTTCCCAAAGGCAGGCAGTTCGAATACACCGGCTGCTTTGCAGGAGAAAGATGGACAGTCTGCTGTGTGATTGACTGCCTCTGCAAACCCACTGGAGAGTCAGCTATGGGTCAGTTCTGATTCTATGACACACAATAACAACAACAATCTTTACAGGAACAGATCATTAGCTCTTTCTCTGAGGGAGTTTCTGAATGGATTTGAATCACTAAGCTTTCACTTGGCAGCTATATTCTTAACCATCCATTGCACCATCAGGGCTCCTAGAACCTATGTAGATCCTGTGCAACTGTATTTCCATTTATCTGACCCCACTCAGTAATCCTAGGAGGCAGCTCTAGTTAGTCTCATGTTTTGATCTGGGCAATGAGAACCAGAGAGGTACCTTGTTTAGCAAGGTCACACAGCAAGTACGAGGTAGAACTGGAATTAGAACCAGGTCCAAAGCTGATGTTCTTTGTGTATGTTAAAGGCTATGACTCCATGGTGTCCCAGGTGTGCTTCCCAACCTTCCAGCCTCAGACATTCTGTGGGAGCTACTGTTATAAGAAATTTTGCTGCAGGTACTAGTCTGTACCTCCTGGCCTTGTCCCCAAAGTGCCCCCATCCCTGATGCCTATTCAGTGCTATGTGGTAGAAGCAGTCTGTCTTTCGAGTCAGACCGCCTGAGTTTTTATCTTGGCTTCACCACTTAACAGCTGGAGAAGTTACATGCACTCTCTGAGTCTCAGTTGCTTCATCTGGAAGGTGGGTAAATAAACAGAACCTCAGTGGGTGCCTGGCAGTGAGATGGAACCCTTAGTGGATGAGGAGCCTACTGTTCATCTGTCTTCATATCCTGGAGGCTTATCAAGGTGTGCCCCTTCTCTGGTGGATCTGCAGATGAGCGGGGCAAGGACCATCTCCGGGCAGGCAAGCTGAACCTGGTGGACCTGGCGGGCAGTGAACGACAGTCCAAGACAGGAGCCACTGGGGAAAGGCTCAAGGAGGCCACCAAAATCAACCTGTCACTGTCAGCACTGGGCAATGTCATCTCGGCCCTGGTGGACGGACGCTGCAAACACATCCCCTACCGGGACTCGAAGCTGACACGGCTGCTGCAGGACTCACTGGGTGGCAACACCAAGACGCTGATGGTAGCCTGCCTGTCACCTGCTGACAACAACTACGACGAGTCACTCAGCACGCTGCGCTATGCCAACCGAGCTAAGAACATCAAGAACAAGCCGCGCATCAACGAGGACCCCAAGGATGCTCTTCTTCGCGAGTATCAGGAGGAGATCAAGAGGCTCAAGGCTATTCTGGCCCAGCAGATGAGCCCGGGCAGCCTGTCAGGTGAGGCACGGGGTGAGCAGGGCCAGGAGGGGAGGGATGAGGCCGGGAGGAAGGGGTTGTGGGGTGAGGAGGCCAAGAGAAAGGCTTTCCATTGTTGTCTCTGACTTTCCACCTGAGAGAAGATGGCACCAGTGTTTCCTGGCTCCTCCACACTTCCTGAAAGCACATCTTTAAAACACTCGTGGAGAGCCTGCGTTGGTGATGGCCTCGAGGTTGCCACTCACTGGTGCTGTCAGGGAGAGGCCAGTCTGTCTGGTCTGTTGGCCCCAGGTTCTCCCAGTCTCCCCGTCTCTGACTGCACCATCATCCTGCCTCATCCACCCATCTACCTTTTAACACTCTGAGCTGAGCAGCTGTTGACTCATTCTCCTCACCACCCCACTCAGTCAGGCACCTATTATTGTTCCCACCGCAGGCATTTGGCTGTCATCTAGAGTATAGAAACGCATACCTGCAGGTCCTTGGAACTGGGGGATGCCACGATGATAACACTGAAGGAAAGGAGCAGGAAAGAACCTGCGCTCTTCTGTCTACTCATCCACCTCCCCACCCACCTTCCTCTCCATCCATCAAATGCCTGTCCACCCACCTACCCATCTATCCATCCATCTTTTCACTCATGCATCTATGCACTCATCCACTCATCATTTCACACACTGCATCCATCTATCTGCCCATCTACTTACCTACTATAGCCATCTATTGATAGTCCGCCCGTCCCGTTCACTCATCTCCAGTCATGATCTTTGAAGCCTCACTGAGCTTGTCCTCTGTGCATGGACTTGTGCTGGGGAAACAAGGATGACTCTAACCCTGGCTCAGCTGTGTGGACTGCCTAATCTTTTGGACAGAAGGACACTCCAGAAAGCACATGCAACAAGACAAACTCTAGGTCAGACAGCCAGGCAGAAAGGGGTACATGGCCTGGTCAGTCAGGAGGAGGGTGTGATTGAGCAGAGTCTTGAAGGGTGAGGGTGAGGAGGGGGCCAATGTGTGCCGAGGCACACACACTGTGACGTGTGTTCACCAAAGTGAACCAAACCTGCTGCTGTGCAGTCCATTCTGACTCATGGCTGCCTTGCATCGGAGTTCCTGAGACTGTAAATCATAATGGAATGGATGGCTTTTTCTTTCTCCCATGGAGAGGGATTGTGGATTCAAACTGATGATGACCTTTCAAATGGGGGCTCTCCCAAATATACCCACTGTCTGAGGAGCAGGGAGGTGGAAGGGCGTGTCAAGGTTGGCAGTGGCCAGAGTGGAGAGGATCTTGAATACACTGGGGAGGAACAGGACTTTGACAACTGCCTTCCTCCTTTTTGCTCCTGTCCCCACTCCTGACCGCACTCACATTGGACAGGGAAGATAGGTGGAGCAATGGTAAGAGAGGCTAGGAGCGGGTGAAGGAGCCTCTGCCAGTGACTCCCCAAACCTGGCAGCTCATATTTGCATATCCTGCTAGCGGTTACCTCTCCTGACACCCTCCCCCTGGCTTATTCTACTTGAGTTACACAGGCCTCCTGAGCTTTCTGGGAATAGTCTGGACTCATGCCTACCTCAGGGCTCACCCTCTGCCTGTGAGGTCTGCCTGTGAGCACTTCTCCAGGATCTCGGCCTGCCTCTCTCCCTCCCTTCAGGTCCCTGACCTCCAGTCGACTGGAGCAGCCCTCCCTGGCTCTTCCTACCCAGCAGCCTCCCTGCTTGCTTTTCTCTGCTCCTTTCCCCACTTTGTAGCATTTATGCACTCAGTTTGTTTTATTTGCCTTCTCCCTCAAATTTATAACTCATTGTAAACATACAGTTTGGTCTATTTCCCCAGACAATTTAAAACTGAGTGTAGACATGGTGTTTTGTCTTTCTGTCCAGTGCTGCATCCCCAGTACCTGGAATATGGATGGAGGGCCTTATTTGTTGAATGACTGAATAAATTAGCACTTCTAGGGAGAACTTAGAAGTTCAGCACTTTTGAAGTAATTTATCAATGAGCCTATGGCTGTCTTTTCACAAATTTCCACTTAGTTTCTGTGAACAATATGCACCTTGTCGCAGCCCCTAATCTTTGTTCTCCTTCCAGTCCTGCTGTCCGGCCAGACACCCCTAAAACCTTCCCAGCTTGAGGAGAAGCCACTGCCCCCACCTGTTACCCAACAAGACACAGAGGCAGAGAAGCAGCTGATCCGGGAGGTGAGGCCCCTTGTATTGGAGACAGACAGAACAGAGGGACTGCTGGGACCCAGCTCCAGCACAAGCTCACTTAACCATCACCGTTAACCTTGGAGGTGACCCTGTGGTCCTCCTCCTTCTCTTGTAATGAGACTCAAAAGAAATACCTTCACTTACCTGAGGTCACGCAGCTTGAGTCTGAGTAGGATTTAAACTCGGGTTTCTGACTCAAAGTTAGGGCATCCTTACCACTGCGTGGGCTGGCAAAGTAGAAGCGTGACGATGTCTCCAGGAGATTGCCGCTGAGGCCTCTGTCCTGGGAAGTAGCATAGAAGCAGGGAGACCGTCTAATGTGGTGCTCTATCAGTATGGAAAGAAGGGGTAGCCTCCGGTCAGTGGTACACAGAGGACACATTCCTCCGGGATAGCGGTGCAAAGGCAAGATCAGAGTGCCCCCTCATCAGGAGCCAGTCATCTGAGCTCAGAGCAGGTATCTAGGTGGGCAGTGAGGGGAGCCCCACAGGGAGCCAATGACTTCTAGGTGAGTGGGGGGTGTTGTCCTTCTGCCAGGGCCCCTACATCCTGCCCATGTGTAGATTCTCCCAGCATCCCCAGGATCAGCAGGGCAGGCAATGCCCTCAGTCCACAGATCTGGAGTTGGGCATTGGCTGGGGATGGGACAGGGGAGCAGAGCACCTAACTAATGTCTTGACTTGGTCTCTATGGGTTTCTGGAGGTTAGAGCCACTTCAGGGCTGCATCCCAAGACATGTGGGGGAATTTAACACCTAAAAGCACCTTAAGGGCACCAGTGTTTTCCTGATGAACATTACACCAAGCAGGGACACCTCTGCTGTGTGTCCCTGGGGCCTAGGTGTGTCCACAGATGAGCCTCGGCCTCTGAACTGTGAACTCAGTATTAGACTTTAGGTCCTTGGAAGCCCCTGTCAGGCTGTAAGGGATTGGAACCCACCTCAGAGTCGGGGGTGCAAAGCAAATAAGGCCTACGGCTCTGTCTTATGAGCTCATGGCCCGGGAGAGCTGACTAGTCCCCACTAGCTGCCCTTGTGAAGGGCACAGGCTTTTACTGTTTGCTTTGAGGGCAGACTGGGAGGGGCTGGAACACATCTGCTCACTCTGCCTTTTTACCTGCTGATCTGGGAGCTCCTGGGAAAGGGCTTAGGTTCTAAGTCCCTCTCTGGATCCTTTGCCCAGGTCCAGCTCAAGGGAACTGCTGGGTGGTAGAGAGAAAGCCCACAGAAACCAGGAAGGCCTGTTTTCAGTGTTCAGAGTGGGAATGGAATCATGGGGTGGCTGGTGGACATTGTTGTGTTCAAAGTAGGAGAGGAGAGGGTTGTCCAAGGGGGAGAATTGAAGCTCCCTCCATAGGGGCACAGGGACTATTGTGCTGAGGCAAGAGCTGCATCCCTCTAGTGGTCACCTAGAGAAGTGACGTTCCAGGCTGGCAACGGGGGCCAAGTGGTTGGAAAGTCCTTTCTGCCAGATTTTTATTCTCTCACTTGGAGGACTGATACTTCCAGTCTGGCCACTGGGGGTTGAGTAGTTGGAGATGTCTTTGTGCCCAGTGGCTGGGGTCACCTGCCCCTTCCTCATGGCACAGCCTACTGGACACTGCATCTGGGTGTTGTCCCCTGAACACCCATCACCACGTTTTTCTTTCCTTTGTGAACCAAGCTTAGTTGAGGATGTCTGTCCTCCCTCTCTCCCATTTACTCATTCAGTCTGATAGTGGCTGAGTATGTACTATGTGTAAGCTTCCCCTTCTCATCCCAGAGCCACGCAGGAAGCCCTGGACAAGGTGGGGAGGCCCTCTGTTTGGTAGAGATGACATTAGGCTAGAACTAGCTTAGCCATGAGCTCTAAGTGTGACTCTCTGAGCCTTAGGCCTGCCTTTTAAAGGAAGGTTTGGATGGAAGATTTCTAGATTGCTCCAGCTTTCCTTGCTTGGAGTCCATTCTTGTGGACTTTGTAGCTTTGGGCAGGTTGTGAAAGCCTCTCTTTATCTATAGAATGGGTATAATAGCAAATTTTGCGTTGTAAGGGAATGAATGGGGGATTGTCTTCTTATCCTTGGATTTTGTAATGAGTCCTAGCCAGGAGTTGGGGCCTGAGGTTACACTTTAGCCACCCATTCCTCAGCTAGTCATCAACAGGCATTTTCTGAGACTCTGCTCAGTGCCAGCATCATAGCTGAGAGAGATTTGGAACCAAAACAAAAACCACCTGCCAGTAAGTCAACTCTAATTCTCAGTGACCCTGTAGGACAGAGAGTAACTGCCCAGGACAGAAGAACTGCTTCCAAGGCCACTGTCTTTAGGGAGCAGACAATCTCATCTCTTTCTAAGCAGCTAATGTGTTCACATGGTCAGAAATCAGATTCTTTAATCATGGGGCCACCACAGCTCCCTGTAAGCCCAAGGGATGGTCTTCTTGAATGTTTGTTTGCTTTCATGTTGAAACACCCACTTTGTAGACTGCAAGGAATGAACTAGGATGGGAGAAATCGGCGGTAGAGGAGGGAGTGTGAAGAGCAAAGCCCTCACAGGTGGGGCTGGCTCAGGTACTTCAGCCACTGATGAACAGCTTTGGGTCCAACTTGCAGGTAGAGGAAAAGACGGAAGGAGCATGAAGGAGTTTGAGGACAGCTTTTGATTTCTCCGACTGGAACTGTGGGGAACAGGGCATGCAGGCTGGCAGAGGAGAGTGAAAGGGCTGTGGAAATGTGAAGGCACTCCTGAGATTCAGAGCACACAATTAAAGTGAGAATAGTGTGTGGTGTTGCTGCGTGAGCATATGTGTGCATGTACATGTAAGTGTGTATGTGTGTGTTGCTCAGGTGCAGGAGATGCTGCAGAAAAGAGATGAAAGGGGGGATGGAGCAAGGGAGTCCAGGATACCTGAGGAGGAGCCAGTGTGGTGCTGGACCTGGAATCTCAACTGGGTACAGAGGGAAACAGCAGTGGGGACAGGGAAAAACCAAAGGTGTAAGCAAGGTCCCTAGAGCCCTGGACAAGTGGGTTAGCCTCCTGGTAGTATTGCAGATATTACCAGGAGGCCCAGGTATATGAAAGGCATTTCAGAATGCACAGATACATTTTAATAATGGTAATGTTTGACTGAAGTTCAAGGCTACCCAGAGGAACTTTCAAGAAAGACCTAGTGATCTACTTAAGAAAAACCAGCTATTGAAAACTCCGTGGGGCACAGTCCTAACATGTGTGGGGTCACCCTGCGTTTAAATCCACTCAGTGATGACTGGTCTGGGACCTTTGTCTCCCCGCTGGAGAGGCTGAGTCAGCATTGTGCCCCTCGTAGACTTCTGGGCTGTGTCCCACAGACTGTGTGGGCACATGCGATGGACTCTGCCCTGGTCCGTGTCCTCTTCTGGTTGTTACCACAAAGTGAAGCTGCGAGTGTCTGTCACTTGTAGCTCCAAACCTTGTGGGGCCACATACCTGCGATTCATCACAGATGCCCTGCCTACCTCCTGTGAAGAGTGTGCTCAAAGCCTTCGTATTTCTGTTCTCTGTGGCCCCGTAGTCCTCAGAGCAGCTCAGCCAGGAGATCACCATAACTGATTCAATAGATGATCCTGAATCCTGCTCAGTACTGGGTGTTGAGGCCACCAGGCAAGATACTCCCTGCTCTTTTGGAGCTTCTATTCTAGTGGGAAGCGAGAGGCTAGACCTGTAACTCTGCAGGGACTCCTGGAAGTGTGGTATGAGCTAGGAAGGACTAAGTGACAGTACTGCCCAAAATGCCACCAAAAATTGAGATGCAGTCACAGGAGTGGGTGGGGCCAGATTGCATGGGACTCGACGTCATGTCTGGAAGCTAAAATATTATCCTGTTAACATGGGAAGCCACTGTTGGTACTAACAGGGCCCCACCATGGTCTGATGGACTTGTGGTTGCTGTGTGGAGACAGATTTGGGGGCAGGAACAAGAAAAGCAGTGAGTGTCCAGGTGAGAAGAGGCTGTTTAGACAAGAGCTAGTGGTGATAGTGAAAACAGAGAGAGAAGCTTACAAATAAAACCATATTTTGTGGTTGTCACTTAAAAGTCATTGGGTAAAAATGTATTTGTTTATATAGAAAGCATTCATGGTGTGTTGTTTATGGAAGGATGACCAACAAATACATGTAGTATTAACCATTTGCTGTGGAGTTAGTCTGACTCATGGTGACCCCGTGTGTGTGAGGGGAGAACTGTGGTGTTCTAGAAGTAGATTTCTCCCCAAGTGCCTCTAGGTGGACTTGAACCTCCTCCCTTTCAGTTAGCACTGGAGCACGTTAACCATCAGTACCACCATTGGTACTTCCCGCATAATGCTAGCTCACTGAAAAAAAATGCACAGAAGAAAGCCCCACCAGCAATTATGTGTCTCAGTGTCGTATGAGTGATTTTATTCTTTTTGTTTACTTCTGTATTTGGATTTTTGTACAATGAATACTTATTGTCGGAATGACTAAGAATCAAACACTGAACGTTGTGTTTGAATTGGTGACAAAGCTCTGTCCCGTGGCCCCGGGCCTCTCTGCAGGAGTACGAGGAGCGCCTGGCCAGGCTGAAGGCCGACTACGAGGCTGAGCAGGAATCTCGGGCCCGGCTGGAGGAGGACATCACCGCCATGCGCAACTCCTACAACATGAAGCTGTCCACGCTGGAGGAGAGCCTGCGGAAGGAGACAGGTGGGGGCCCCTGGACCCCCTCTTGGTAACTGCCTTTGATAGAGCATCTTCTGTGCCCTCAGCTCAGTTCTGATTAACCTACACAGGTGGTGTTAGGTGCCATCGAGTCAATTGTGACTCATAGTGACCCCGAGAGAATAGATTGAACTGCCCTTCAGTGTTGTCTAGGCTATAATCCTTATGGGGCCTGATCATCAGGTATTTCTCCTGTGGAAGGAACCACTGGGTGAGTTCAAACCACTACCTGTTGGTTGGCAGTCCTATACGTAACCATTGCTCCATGAGGACTCCCTTAGCCCAACAGTTCCTCATTGGACCTAATAGCTGCTGAGCTCAGAGAATGACATGGTCATGGTGTTGACCATGGAAGGCTTCTTGGAAGAGGTGGAAAGAGACAGGCTGGAATTCTGATGGAGCAGAGAAGGGTGATACACTGGCTGTAGCCAGACTCAGATTTGGGGTAACAGGACACCCATTGTTCTTGGGGACTGGTGTTGGGACCAACTTGAGAGAAACAGTCTCATTCACTAACTTTTTAAAAAGTTCTAAGCAGACAATTCTCCATTTTCAGAGGTTCTCCTGAAGGCAGAAGCCCTCTACAAGACTGAGGACATGCCCAAGCCAGAGTTTGCAAACAGATGTGAGCACACACCTGCCTTTCCACTGGATGCCAGCCTCCAGCCTACGCTCTGCTTCACACTCAGCCCTCCATCCCTGGCAGAACTCCCCAGGTCTGAGAGCTCACTCCGGTTGGAGGAACCACTCAAAGTGCAGGACTCCAAGTTTGAGGTTTCTTTTGGGTCAAATGGATCAAGCACATTGGAGAAAACTTCCACACTTGAGGCTTTCCCTGAGCCCGGTGAGTGCTCCACCCTGGAATTCTCTACACTTGAGGAGGAGCCCAAGAACAGACCCTTCTCAGAGCACCTCAGCCAGGAGACCACCGGACCCCTGCAGGACAATCAGGGCTACTTCCAGGAAGAGGGGCCCAAACTGTTGCCCTTGGAGCTGCTACCAGGCCTGAAGGACCCATTTGCTGAGTTGGAAGCCAAGCTGTCCAGGCTCACCTACACAGTGGCCAGGACAGACGTGTCCCTGGAAGACTCACCCGAGGTCCCCGAGCAGGTAGCTGGCATCTTACCGCGCTGGGCTGGGGCCCGGCGTCCCTTGCGCAGGCTCAGAGCTCTTCCCTCTGTGGCTCCAGCACTGCCTGCCTCCCTGTCTCGACCAAGGCGCTGGCTCTGGGGTCCAGGCTTGGGCACTCTCAGTCAGGGATCTAGGAAATAAAAAGGTCTGACTGATGAGTACATTAGTAACAAAGTCGGGATTGGGATACAGGGTACTACCAGGTGGGCACCTGACCTGCCGACTGAGGGACACTGGTTTGGGGAGTCTGTGGCGTGTCCGGTTCTGCAGAGCTGAGGAGGCTTGACCCAGCCTTCATGTGCCTGGAAGCTCAGCATGGAGGGGCGAGGAGCCTGTGGAAACCCACTGTCTTTCAGTTGGAACTAGGGGAACCTTATGGTGCTACTGTTGCTTTCCCTTCCCTGCTGGTCATCAACATCTCCCTTCTCAGCCCTCCTCCTTTTTACCCCTTTTCTTAAAAATTGTAGCTCTTTTTCTTTGTCCTCTGCTTTCCTTCTCTTTCTCTGCCCCCTCCCATCTCTCTCCGCCCCCTCCAATATCTCTCTCTCTGTGTGTATGTGTAGAAAGAGCACAAGCCTTTGAATCAGGCAAAACTGGGGCCATATCTGAGCTCTACTACTTACTTAGCTGTACGCCTTTGGGCAGTCACCACTCTGTGCCTCAGTTTTTCAGTCTCTGCAATGGGGATGATGCTGTGTGTCTCACATGAGACTGCAGGTATTGCTCCTGGCACATGTCGCGTGCTCAGAACATGCCCATAATTTTCTCTGGCAGCCTCATTTCCTCTCTTCCCCTTCCTGTCCCCTCCCCTCCTCACTCCTTCATTTATGCCCCCTCTCAGCAGGGACAGTCAGGAGGAGAGTGCAGGGGTGGGAGGTAGTGGGGGGAGTTGGTTCACAACTGGGAGTTGAAGCAGAAGTTAGGAGTGTGGGAGGCCGAGATGATTCCGGATCAGACAGTCCCTCTCCATTCACCCACCCAGCTCTCCAAGTACCCCACCCCAACAGATCTGCCGCTGCAGCCCGGTAACCCCAGAGTGACGGCAAGGCACCTGACCAAGTCCTGTCCCCAGGATCGTGAGTGTCCACTGGTGGGAGGCATTTCAGGGGCCTGTCTCCTCCCTCTCCAGGTTTTTAGACTTATAACAGGTGGCCCTTAGCACAGTGGTGCCTGACTCGGAGAACTGGCATTCCCCCCATCACAGGTGCTACCACAGTTGTTATGTGCCGTTGAGTCACTTGCTACTCATAGTGACCCTATGTACAGCCCTAAACTCCACTGTCCTGTACCAATCACACCATCTCCGATACATCCATCCCAATTGCCCCAGTCACTGAATCAATCCACCTCATAGAGGGCCTTCCCCTCCTGCGCTGTCCCTCCACCCTACCAAGCATGATGTCCCTCTCCAAGGACCTGTCCTTCCCTGCAACATGTCCAAAGTATGTTAGACGGAGCCTCAGAATCCTTGACTCCAAGGAGCCGCCCGGTTTGACCCTTTCCAGGATGAATCTTACGATGTTATGGATGATGTGATCCAGACAGCCCTTTGCCTCAGAACTCTTGGTCTGAAGGCTTAGTGGGGACAGGAGAGCTGAAGGTCAGGGGCAGACCTCCCTAGATGCTTTTAGAAGGCACTCTTTTATCAAGACAGCACACCAGAAGAGGCTTTAAGGGATGTGCATTTATGGAGGGAAAAGGTGGTCTCCCAGACTCTGGTGCTGCTCAGTGGGTGGGCAGCAGATGTGCGCAGTGGGGTCTGGGCCAATTACAGGCTCTCCATAGATGGGAACCCCTGGGTGAGTAAGTGATATTCAAGATGTGACCCAAGCAGTAAGGGGAAGCCCTGGAAAGAGCACTGGACAGAGGGAACAGGCAGAATAGTAGTCCTGTGACTTTTGGCCAGGTGGGCTGCTGGTGGGTAGGAACAAGCAGCCAGGATGAGGCTGGAGAAGAGGCAGGGGCCAGTACACAGGGGGCACAGTGGCCCCAAAAGAGATGAAGCTTTACCTAGAATGTAACAGAAGCCTAAAGGGCAGTTGAGAAACAGGTGTGATGGGTTTCTGTGCTAAGAAAATGGTTCTTGCTGCTGTGTGGAGATCAGGTTGGAGTGGGCAGGAGAAGCTGGGAGATATGGGAGCAGCAGGAAACCAGGGGTGTGTTTGATAACTGGGTGTCTCTGAGTCACAGGTGGCTCATCCCTTGTCAGGATTGGGGGGCTCCTGAGGACTGCATGTGCACATCTCCAGGGTACCCCCTCTTGATATCTCTGCACACAGGAGGTTAATCCAGCCCAAGAAGTGGCCGAGGAGGCAGAACCTGATATGGAGGCCAAAGTGGAGGCCCAGGCACCCTTGGTGGCCCAGCCTCTCCCCCTGGTGGCCTCAGGAGGCGTAAGGAAGGAGAACACAGACGTGGAAGTGGCAGGGCTGGCCATAGTGGACCAGCAGCAGGTGCTTGCCCGGTAAGCATCTGAGTTTGGGGTGGTGGGACCCACCTATCAGGTCCTGGGAATGGAGTTGCAGACAGATTATTTCTGATCTGTGTTGGGCCCTCACCCAGCTCACCTTCCGGTTGTGGCTGAGAGGTTCTCTGGTGAGAGGCCGAGGTCGGGGGACAGGATAGTGTAGTCAGCACTGGGGCAGGTTCCCTTCGAAAGCTCCACTGGCTCCAGCTCCTATGGGGAGTGTGTGCTGCAGAGTTGCCCAGCGGCTCTCCCAGGTTTCAGGCATTTGTGGGCAAGTTGGTGTCCCCAAATTGAAGTTCCATTCAATCTTCCAGGCCGTTGGCTTATCCTAGTGTCAGGGTCACCCAGCTGAGATCCCTGGGGCTGCCTGGGACTTTGTGGGTTTTGCACAAGTCACTTAGCCTTAGTGCTCACATTTGTAAATGAGAATGATGCCAGTCTCCTGCCTGGCTCTACCTCCTGGCAGCACAGGACACAGCCTGGGATGACCCTCATCACACAGGGTGCCCAGAACAAGGATGCAGCTGCTCTGCTGGAGGGATCAGCTAGCCTTCAGCATTTGGGAAACAGGGGACTAGCTTGAGTACCACAGGAAGATTCTCATCTTTCCCATTAGAGCCACCACGGTTGGGGACATAGGCTGGGAGACCACCAGATCCGGGAGGAATCCTGGCTTTGATCCTTAGCAAGCTGCTTCATTCTTAAGAGCCTGAGTTTACCTCCTTGGGAAGTGGGCTGTTGGAAGAATTGAGTGAGACCTGCTGGGTAGAATGTGCTCAATGTTGCTTTCTCCCCACACTGGCAGCCTGCAGCTGTTGGAGCAGCAGGTGGTAGGTGGGGAGCAAGCCAAGAACAAGGACCTGAAGGAGAAGCACAGACGAAGAAAGAGGTATGCAGATGAGCGCAAGAAGCAGCTGGTGGCGGCCCTGCAGAACTCAGACGACAGTGGGGACTGGGTGCTGCTCAAGGTCTACGACTCCATCCAGGAGGAAGTGAGGGCCAAGAGCAAGCTGCTGGAGAAGATGCAGAAGAAGGTGAGGCCTGGAACGCCCTATCATCCTCCATCCCGTGCTGCCCAGGCATCAGTGAGACCCTCCCTTCATCTAGGCATCACTAGACCCAGCTAGACTGCCAGAAAGAACTGTACACTGTTGTGGTTAATTCCGTAGAGTCAGAACTGACCCATAGCTGACCTTCTGGTAGGTTTTCAGAGGCAGTTAACCACACAAGAGGAGATTGCCCATCATCCTCCCGCAGAGCAGCTGGTGGCCTCGAACAATGTGTCTTTGGGATTGCAGTGCAGCTTCTTGCTGCTAGGCCACCAGAGATCCCTGAATTGTACATTATACAAACATGTATTGAGTGCCTGTTGTGTGGCATGCCTTGCTTTGGATGCTGGTGGCACTGGTGTGAAAGTGACAAACCTGTCCCTGCTGTCTTGGAGCCCACGTGGATGTTCCCGTAGGATGCGTAACGAGAACTCAAACCTGAGACCTAAGAAAGAGTGTATCTGGGAGCCAGGGGGTTAGTACGTGATACCAGGGGAAGGCATGTAAATGCACACATGTAAGTGCCCAGCCCTATACATTACTATAACATGAATGCACCCCTGAAACTAGCACCCAGTCCTGCATCTGAGCATAAGAACTCCAGTTCCTGAGGCTGCTGCAGTGGGAGATGGGAGTTCCATGGAGGTGGTGACTATGAGGTAGAAGCCGACAGGAAGAGACAGCGCTGTGATGTGAGAGAAGAGCCAGTGTTGCACCGCAGGTTAGCTTGTGCTAGGAAGAGAATGAAGGCAAATGGGGTCGAGCCCCAGGAGTGAGTGCCACCGGTTCTAAAGCCCGTGCTTTCTCTGCATGGTGTCTCCCCAGGCCCACTCCCGCTCCCGCCCCCCCTTGTTCAAGCACTGGAAACCAAAGGATCTTCCCAAAGCATATATTTTATCTTTTTTTTCTATAATTATATTTTATTAATTTTCATAAACATTTACAGAGATTTTGGGTTTCCATTCATTCATTGTTGCACTATTCTCTCTACCCTCCTCCCCAGTTTGTTCTTCTTCCCCGCCATCCAAATGTCTGTTTTAATTTTCCAATTGCCACAGTGCTTGTCAAAGTCAGTTCTGATTAATCTCCTTTGTCGGTGTGTCCTTTGCCATTCCCTATCACTCCTCCCTGAGAGAGACTTCACCCTGATTCATAAGGAAAAGGGGATGGCGTATTCTCTTAGCTACTTCCTGCTGAAAAGGGACGCTGTGGGTTTCAGGGTGAAGATCTTCTCTCACTACTCTAAAGGGCCCCTTTGGCAGTAGGAAACACATAGACTATTATGGAGATTGATTTTGGAATTTAGATGCACTCTTATTGATTGTGCTTGGCCGTACATGTTCATATCCTTGAAGATGTATCATGGGGGTGTTGCAACCTAGAAGACACAAATTTGACTAACAAGTTATAAGTACATGAGTCCAAAAATTATGGAAAAGTAAAAGAAAAGATTCTTTCATTGTTTTACAAACCCTCGTGATCATTTAAAAGGTTGAAAACAAGGGAGCTCTGGTGGCCTAGTCACCTAGTGGCAAGACGCTGCACTGCCATCCAGAAGTACGTGGTTCAAATCCACCAGATGCTCTGCTGGAGAAGGGGGGGCGGGGGGTGGGGAGGCAATCTCCTCCTGTACCAGTCAGATCTGATTTGACGGTACACGTAAAAATAATGCAATACAAATTAAAAAAAGAGAAAAAATAAATGAAAGGTTGAAAGCATAGTTCAGACACAAATATCAAATGAATATATGTAAAAAAGTTTATTGACTTCATTAGTTAACTAATTTAAGCTGTTAAAACAGATTCAGATGTTAAAACTGATGTTAAGTTCAGAGAATTTAAAGAATACAAACATTTATATAAATGAGTTTACATTTCTATAGTTTCTGTGGTTTACATTTGTAGTTTATATAGTTTACATTTCTGTAGAGTCAGAAAACTTTTTTGGAGGCTGTAAATCACACAGGAGGAGATGGCCTATAGTTTTCCTTTGGAGCTGCTGGGAGATTTAAACCACCGAAGAGATGCCATCTTTGGGTTAGCAGCACAACTGCCTATGGACTACACCCCCGAACACACTCGATAGATAGATAGATAGATAGATAGATAGATAGATAGATAGATAGATAGATAGATAGAAATACACACACACACACACACATGCACAATTATGGAGGCTGAAACGAGTTAGCCAATATATGCAATACCGGTTAGTTTCCCAATACTCAGTAGCTGTATATTGCATGGGAGGAGATTGCCCATCATTCTCTTTTTGAGCTGCTGGTGGATTTGAACCACTGGAGATGTGGTCTTTGGGTTAGCAGCAGTGCAACACCCTCTGTAAACTAGAGCTCGTTTTGTTATTATTGTTGTGTGCTGTCATATTGAAACTGAACCATAGTTGACCCTCCAGGGGCAATTTCGGAGGCAGTTAATCACACGGAAGGAGATTGCTTATCCTTCTCCCACCGAACAGCTTGTTGATTTGAACTTTGTGCCTCTGGAATGGCAGTGCAGTTACTTGCTGCTAGGCCACCAGAGCTCCCTTTGTTGTTGTTGTTAAGTGCTGTTGAGTCGCAGGAAACTCATAGAGACCCTATGAAGGAGAGTCCTCAATGCTTGGGTGCCTTTCATCCTCTCTCCAGGTTCATAGGGTCTCCGGAGGCAAGCTATTATGGAAGTGGATGCCACTCCTCCTTCCAAGCTTGTTTTAATTGGGGAGCTCCACCCCACTCTCTGTCCGCATTGGGTAACCAACCATTAACACATTTGACACATCAGTGTCACAGTGTTCAGCCTCACAGTAACCACAAGTGACCGGGGTAAGGCAACTTGTACACCAGGGCTATATGACCTAGAGGAATGTCTGAACAAAAGCAATGAAAGACAAGCCCGAGGGCCCTTTTGGGCTGGAGCCCCCTGCTGCCTTAAACCCTAGGCCAAGCCTGGCTTGCCTGGCTCCTGGAGGCAGAGTAGTCCTTCACGTGCAAAAACTGCCACAACACCCACACATATAGCACCATGCTCTCTCTGGCGACCAGGTGGAACAAACCTGGGGAGCTCCCTTTAGTGCAGTAAAATATCATGGATGAGGTTATTTTTTCTGCAGCATGGAAATCAAGTATGGACAATCTCCTCCTGTGCAATTAACTGCCTCTGAAAACCCACTGGAGGGTCACCTATGAGTCAGTTCCATCTTTATATCGAAACAACTACAGGTAAATAAATGAATCATTCAGAGTTACAGGTGTGAATCTCTAAAAAATCAGATAATTCCCAGAGCATCCTATAGACAGTGCCCAGCACTCTACAGAAGACAGATCTAATAATTTCTTTTGTCTCCTTTTGAGTTTTGCGTTTTCCTTTTACTCCTCAGCCTTACAAACAGATGTTGTTAGGCACCATCAAGTCACCTATAGTGACCGTTTGAACAACCAGTCTGAACCTTGCCCCTATCCTGTGCCATCCTCATGAATGGCACAAGATATGCTTGAACCCATTGTTACAGTAAGTGGGTCAGTCCATCTTGTTGCGGGCTTTCTCATTCTCTGACCCTCTACCTTTTCCAGCATGAAGTCTTTTTCCAAAGACTGGCCCTTCCTGACAACAGGTCCAAAGTACATGAGATAGAATTTCACCATCCTTGCCTCTAATGAGCAGCCCGGTTGTACTTCCTCCAAGTCAGACCTGTTTCTTCTTTTGGCAGTGCATGCAATATTCACTTCTCTTCTTTAACACCACCACTCAAAGTCGTTAATTATTCTTCTGTCATCCTGATTCACTGTTTGACTTTCAGATGGCATAGGAAGCAAGTGATAAAAAAAATCATGGCCAATTTTATATGCTATCTTTTACTCTCACTTATTCCCCTGTGATCATCATTGAGTTTTCCCCCCTTCTGTCTCTATTTCTCTTTTTTGACTGCATTAATTCTATACAGCTAAAAATATAAAATTTACATGTTCATATTATTCTTTCATTCTGTCTCTTTTTATTGTTAGGTTAAAAGATCTACTCAGTGCTCACCTTAATTAATTAATGAATTAAGCCTGTAGCTGACTTTCTCCGTCATTTCTTACTGGATGAAACATGGTTTTTATTAGACTTCTCGGAAATGCTTTATGTGTAGTGTATTTCTTTGTTCTTGCATATTTAAAATTTACTGGAAATAAAATCCTTGTCTCCTACTTTTCTTCTCTTGAAAATGTTGCTCGTTGCATTGTGTGAGGACCCTTGAGAAATTTTGAAAACTCTTGACTTTATAATTCTTGATCAGTTTCCCTGTGTATATAGTTAATCTGTTCAGTATGTAAATTCAGGCATTTTTTTACTTCCTAGAAGTAAATGAACTCTATATTTAATTAACCATAGTAAATTAACTCTCTATTTCAATATTTTCCTGTTCTGTTTTTTTGTTAGGGACTCTATCCAAATGTTGCATTTTTTTTTTTATCTTCTGCATCACTTTCTCTTTGAGACTTTTTCCTCTTTGTTTTGGCTGTTTTTATAACTTTTCTGAGGTATTAACCTCAAGGGAATTTGTTCTGTCATAGATACCTTATCATTTGATCTATATTTCTGAAATGGGGGAAATTCTGAGTTCACTTACTGTCCCATTTCACATCATCTTGATTCTTGTCTCTTGTCTATTTATGTTTTAAGCTTTGGGATTTCTTATTGGCAATTTTCTGGCTTTGAGCGCATGTCTGAGTTGGGATGTGCTGTATTTTCATCTGTTTGGTTCTGTGAACGTTCGCTTTTGCCCAACATTTCCTTGAGCTGAGGTGTTCTTGCGTGGTGTGGTGACCACTGAGAGACTTTCTTCCTCGTGCGCTGTGCCCTCTGGCTCCTCCCTGCTGTTCCCACGCTGCCCTGAGGTGGTGTTATATTGTCACTTGTGTAGCATGTGTCTGTCCTTTACTGTTTGGTAATGGACCCTTTCTGAATTGTCAGTAACAGCTGTTTATAGATTTAAGGGTTTTGGAT